GCCCCTAGAGAACAGAGTGGAAAGCCCCACAGTGTTTCCAAGGCTGTCAGTCTTCACAGAAGCAAAGCCCAAACCACACCCACTGCTGTGGAGTCCATTCTGACCCACAGCGCCCCTAGAGGACAAAGTGGAACTGCACCACAGGGTTTCCAAGGCTGTCAATCTTTATTGAAGCAAAGCCCAAACCAAACCCACTGCCTTGGAGTTGACTCTGACTCACAGCGCCCCTAGAGGACAGAGTGGAACTGCCCCACAGGGTGTCCTAGGCTGTCAGTCTTTACGGAAGCTAAGTCAGAACCAAACCCACTGCCTTGGAGTCTATTCTGACTCATAGCGCCCCTAGAGGACAGAGTAGAACTACCCCACATGTTTCCAAGGCTGTCAATCTTTATGGAAGCCGACTGTCTCATCTTTCTCCTGTAGAGCAGCTGGTAAGTTCGAACCACCAGCATTTTGGTTAATAGCTGAATGCTTTAACCACTGTACCACCTTTTACAGAAAAGAAAAAAAATATGTGTTTGACCCTCAAACACCACGGGTTTGAACTGTGCAGGTCCACTTATGCGTGGATGTTTTCAGTATCTGGATCTTGGAGGAATTCAAGGGCTGACAGATACCACAGCAGAGGAAGGAGCAGAAGATGACTTGATGAGGGTGGGTGCTTCTGAACCCGCGCCAGATGAGGAGGAGGAAGATGGAGAAGCGACAGGGCCAGGAAACGAGTCGACACTGGGGCACCTGGCAGAAGAGCTCCGATCACTACTGAGCTCCTTGGTAGCCATAGACGATATCAAAGTACAGTTTTAAGTTTTGAAGCTACTGACAAGCAGGATAAAAGAAGAAAATCGAAATCACACATAACCCCACAATGCAAAGGGAGAATCTTTTGACAGGAGTGTACACTGCAGGGATGGGGGGTGCCGACCGCCCCAGACACAGTCAGAAATCCACAGGCAGCTTTGACGCCCCCAAAACTTAGCTACTCATTGCCTTCTGTTGACCAGAGCCTTACTGACAACGTAAATAGTCGAGTCACACAGTTCTTGCTGCACAGTTAGGAGATTGTGGCACTCACACACGTACACCCAGATACTTTTCTAACCTGGACACTGATGGGTGTTTGCTATCCAGAGGTGGGTCTGGATCGCCATAGGGGTCTTCAGCCTCAGCTGCACGCTGAGGGGGCCGAGGGGGCGGAGGGTAGGTCGTGCCACCTGACGGCCAAGGAGGAAGAGGTGGAGGAGGTGGATGGGGGCGGGAAACACTGATTTTTGCTGACTTCTTGCTTTGTCCTTTCTCTGCAAATGTTGCCCTATGGTCGCAATCCTTCTTCCAGTGTTTCCTTGAGGTTCAGTGCCCATGCCATAGGAGGGTCGCTGTTGTAAAGGTAGTCAAAAGCATCTTGAGGAATCGGAGCTCTTCTGCCAGGCTGTCCAGTGTCGACTCATTTCCTGGCCCTGCCGCTTCTCCATCTTCTTCCTCCTCATCTGACGCGGGTTCGGAAGCACTCACCCCCATCAAGTCGTCTTCTACGCCTTCCTCTGCTGTAGTGTCTGTCAGCCCTTGAATTCCTTCAAGATCCAGATCTTGGGGAAAAAAAAATACACGCCTAATTGGACCTGCACAATTCAAACCCGCGGTGTTCGAGGGTAAACGATATTTTTTTTTCTTTTCTGTGAAGCAGGATACTCGTGAACCAACCTCTGACACCAGTGTTCAATCTACCTGTGTTCATCTTGTCCCTCTCTCGCCCCTCAGAGGTAATCATTATCCTGAAACGTGTCTTATCATTCCTAATGGTTTTTCCCCATATGTGTGGCTAAACGATACAGTTCTTAATTTTGTTTCATTTGCGTTTATAGAAATGGTGTCGTACAGTAAGTCTTCTAGGACTTTTTAAGAAAAATTTATGTATGAGGGTGCTCTTAGCTGAGGTTCGTTAATTTCCTTTTCGGTTTAATTCTGATAAAAGTATATGTAACATCCTTTCTCCATTTCAACATTTTTTCACACGTTCAAGTCAGTGACATGCATGACTTTGCCCATGTTGTTCAGGCATCTCTGCTCTGTGTCCGTGTCTTTCGTCACCCTGATCTCAGGGCCCCTAAGTGGGGAGTCGCCTGTTGATGTTCATCGCATCTGACGTTCCCAGTCTGCGGCCATATCACTGGGTTTGTTCGTTACCTGGCAGCAGACGGCTGGTTGTTTCTGCCATTACAGATCCTGTTGCTGGGACGGCCCCTGGCCGGTCTCTTGGGGCACACGTGCACGTTCTCTTGTAGCAGCTCTGTGGAATCGCCAGATCACAGGAGGGTCAGGACTTCCATGATCCTGGCAATTGGTTTCCTGGGTGATCGCACAGTTAGGACCCCCATTAGCAGTGCACAACAGCTTCCCGACCCGCACACTCTCTCTTAGTTATCCTGAGACTTTGAGATTTTTGCTGTTTGAGTCGTGTAAAATGGTCTGTAGTCTTGATTTGCCTTTTCTAGATTTTAAAGAGGTTGACAGGCTCTTTGCTTGTACATATACCATATAGTCCCTCCTCTGTGAAAGGCCTGATTTGCTCTGTGGATTGTCAAGCTCTTACTGATTGCTGTGAGTTTTTGTTGGTATTTTATGTCACACACCATCCAACATGTGGCTTGGGTTTTTACTTTTGTAAAGATGTCTTGGGATGGGATGTTCAGCGGTTGCCAGTGTTTTAGAGCTAGTGGTGGTGCAGACAGTGAGCTGCATGAGTATTAGCTGAAAGGTCGGTGGTTCGAACCCACCTCGCACTGCCGTGGAAGGCAGGCCTGGACATCTGCTTCTGAGCCGTCACGGCTTGAAAACCCTGTGGGGCAGGCCTACTC